CGTTTTTCCTGCGAGCTAGGGGTGTGAGTGCTTATGGAATAGATTATTCGAGACGCGTATTGCGAGTGCGCATTTGGCGGATGCTTTGGCGCGGAAGCCGAATGGGTATGCCGACGGGGTGTCGGCATTTAAGGAGGGGTGGGTAGAACCCGTCGGATTGTGTGATTGATTCGTGCTGATATGATAGATTCGGCATGGAAATGTACGACTGGCACGCTTGCCATCCTGACAAGGGAGAACGATTCCGTCATGCTATGAGGGGTGTTTCGCGTGGTAAGTACCTTAGTCTGTCCCTGTATGAGGACGTACTGAACACATGGATATGCTAGCCCTCGACCCCGCGGACGCCCTAATTGAGGAATATATCCAGCAGCACAGTCCCACCACCAGAACGAAGATCATCGAGATCGGAGGCCGCTACGGCTTCGCCTCTGTCTCCCTCGTACAAAACCACCCAGAACTCTCATTCGAAGTCCGCTCCGACTCTCAAGACTTCCTCGACCGTGGCGGCGCCCAAGTTCCATCTTCTTGTCGGGAACGAATATCCTTCACGCATTGCCAGTCGGTTTTCGATTCACCCCCCGCGTGCGATACGCATACGGTATGGCTATACGTTATTAGAAATTTGTTGTGGAACTGGTCCGATACGGATGTTGTGAGATTGATGAGAGCTATTAAGCGAGGAGTGGGTGCATCTACCCGTATCTTGGTTACGGATGGGGTGTCTCCTGTGTCAGGGCAGTTCCCACTACATGAGGAGATTGCGTATCGAAGGAGGGACGTTACGACTATGAGTATGCATAACGTAAAGCAGAGGACACAGGAGGAGTGGGTAGGGGTGTTCAAAGAGGCTGCCCCGGGTGTACGGGTGGAGACTACGTTTGGGAGAAGTTCGCATGTCTATAAGGGTTTGTGGGAGATTAGCTTTATCGATGAATGATGATGATGGAGATAGCATATAGAAGAGGTTTTGGATCTACGTTGGGTGGTAAAGTGGCGACAGAATTGTGTAGATGGGAAGAATGAATATGTACGTCCAGGATACTGTTCATGGACTCGCTTAGCACTTTCCATTCTTAACCTTGCTGTCAAGCATGGCACAGGTTATGGCAGATCCTCAAGGTTGATCCCGGGAAAGCCACTCCAAGGTCACCACATGCTCAATCGCAGCATCAGCCCATACTTATGCCGATAACCTCCGATAGCCAAGCATAAGTATCAATCTGATTAGTAGTTGATTTTCAAAGCAATGTTTCACAACCAGCCCGAAAGCAAACCATGTCAGCTCCCGAACTGTCATGAGGGGAAACCCGGCGCCAAGCCAGTGTACTCTTCGTCGGGTTCCGACCTACTCAACTGAAGCAATTATATACAGACTACTAGCAATGCTACTCCCCGTAGAGATGACCTAAATAGCTCCACTGTAACAACCAAGATCATGGACCGCGTCGACCTATCCTACACAAAGAACCTATCCATCCATCACTACCAGCCGGAAAAGACGCCATGGCGTCGATTGGGACAATGTACAACCGGTTTCCTGCATACTCCCGTACCTGTGCTCAAATATCTTACTAACGAGAAAAGACCTCTATCGCGTTATGGAAGACGGGACGCACACTCAATACCGTCTCGCCGCAATCGAAAGTCTCCTTCCGCCTCACAGCGAGGGTCCCGTGTTCCATTCCCATGAGATGCATGATGAGGGGTTTTACGTTACGGTGATTATCTCGCTATCATAATATTCCCAGTTCTTAGAAGTGAAGGTCTTCTGATAATGAACGGCTTGTAGAAAGGAACCGTCCGTTTCCACAGCCCCGGCCGTGCCGACGTTGATGCCAAAGCAGGTGACCTGATCATCGTCCCTATCCGTCTGCCTCATCGATTCAGTAACCCTTTCGACGAAGAAGCTGTCTTTATGAACACAGCTACACCGGGATTCTTCGTAAGGTACTTCGAGTACCTTGAGTACTTGATTGGCGAGGGGACGGAGCTTACGCCGGAAATCAACAAGGCCGCGTTGAGAAGGTTTGCGACTGTGCCGGTAAGCAAGGAGGAGGTAGAAATGTTGGAGATGGAGGGGATGAGGGATGGGAATGTAGTTGTGGCTGAGACTGCGACTGAGGGGGAGAAGTTCGTGGATTTCCTGGCCGAGGAGAAAAAAGGTGAATAGCTTTAGTACTGATGGGTTTACTTAAAAAAACCATGGGTGGCCTAAGCGTACGCATATATTGCTATCAAGGGGTGGAATGCAGTCCGTTGAGCAGCAGACCGGGCATGTAAAGTGGCTTTGTAAGTTATCGAGGATTAGCGTTGGAATGCCACTAACGACAATGTGTGGTTGGCGTGAGCTATGAGGCAAGGGACTAAAGGTGGCATTAGCAGCTGCAGAGAGAAGTACTGGACCAAACATATTAATCTAATCTCATCTTCACCTCCCGGATAATATATGCGATATGCATTCTGTCTCACACATTATCATTGGTCACCTCTCGGTGCCAATCTCACTAACAACGGCGGTTTCACCCAGAACCCAAAGACCTTCTGTCCATCAGCCCAAGCCTTTCCTGTCTCAAACAGCTCCATATCAAATAGAAACAGCAGTTTCGCCGCTATTAGTCGCATTTCGGCCCACGCTAGGTTCTTACCAAGGCAGTTCCTGGGCCCAAAGGAGAAAGGTTGGCAGCTTTTCGGGCGATCAATGGAAAAAGGCCACTTCTCCTGACATTCTGGCAGCCACCGCTCAGGTAGGAAGTCCTGTGGACGGTAGAAGTTGCGTGGGTCATGGTAGCATGCAAAGTGATTGACTCCCACCGTCACTCCAGCGGGTACAAATTTACCGTCAATAACTGCGCCGTTGGCTGGGACAACTCTGGGTAGAGTCACAGCTACAGGAGGGTAGATACGCAGAGTCTCCTGCAGTACGGCGTTTAGATATGGCAGCTGGGTGACAGAAGAGATATCTATCTGCTCGTACTTCTCGAATGCGCCACGGATCTCAGCGATGAGTCGGTCGTACACACTCACATGCGATAGAATGTAGTATGTGAACGCGCTCAATGCTGTCGCCGACGACTCTGACCCAGCTATGCTGAAGGAAAAAGCATTGACATTCATCTCTGCCCGTGACATCCCTTTTTCCGTCTCCATTGCAGCGAGGATGTAGTGCAAAAAGTCCTTGCGGTCGGTGTTTCGAGCTACGCGACAATTGACGGTTTTAATAACTCGCTGCATGTTCTGTGCCCGTGCTCCCGCAATGGACTTGGGCATGAATAGCTGCCGAAAAGAGAGTAGATTGTAGTAGGCGAACATTTGGATGAAAGTCAATTCTTTGGAGATTGCACGGATAGATCTCACGAAGGGATCGTATTCCGCGGTGTTCAGGCAATGGAACCTTTCGCCGAAGGAAAGGTCACGAATGAGATCATATGCTATTGATTTGAGAATTGTTGAAATAAGTTCAGACAGCTGATAACATACCAATGAAGGTGAACCAGTCTACCATGTTCTGCGGGCTATCGTTTGCTCGAGCGGCCAGTTGTCTCATGAGCTGGTCTACATATCCCTGGATGATGACTTCTTGCTCACGTAAAGCTTTTTCGGAAAAAGCATGCGACAGAAGCCGTCGCTGTCTCGTATGTGTCTGTCTATCTGCCGTCAGGATATCTGTTCTCTGTCAGTTTCGACTGAGGCAGTCCTTGAAACGGAAGTATACTTTGTACGCCAGTTGGCGTTCGCAGCGAAAAGACGGGATCTTTGCCCATCTCATCCGATCGCGGTCCGTAAATAGCTCTCCATGCTTCCTCTGAGTTATAAGATAGTTCATTCGGAGCTACTCGCACGATGTGGCCGTATCGTAGATGCAATTCGAGCAGCTTCTGGTATAGCCGGCCTTGAGCCTGGTACCAGCACCATGGTAGCCGCGTGGCAGCCCATAGCCTGGGGCCTGGGTACCGCCTCAGTGGATGCAGAAACGCATTGTAGCATACGTAGAGAACGATGCATGCGAGCAGCTGTTGACATCAGTACAAGCCGCCTCGAGCTCGAAGACTTACCGATGTAAGGGCAGCTGCACCAAGTCCAAACATAGGACCTAAACTAACAACCTGAGTCAATGCCATTCCTCTGAAAGTTTGGAAACATGGTGTCAGTGTATTAGGAGCTGGAAAGACATGTGTATCGGCGAGGTTCTGAAACAGCCCAATTGAGTAACTCGTGGAGTTCGTCTCCTCCTCTTGCAGCAAAAGCGAGACCCGAAGTGGATGTAGTCAGCTGTGCAATCTGACCCCGAGACTCTGTGAGACCTGATAGCTAGTCAGCATTGCAATTTTAACCACCATCAGGCCATGGAATGCGAGTGGGGCGTTTATCAGAGTATGAGTTTAGGCGCAAGGGGGTGACGCCTCCAAAGACCTAGACTGTTACTATATCGGACATAAGCAAAACGGGAAAATACAGGAGGGGCTATTTCATGGATTCCACTAGCTAATCAGGCCAAGTTAAAGTCAATTGGCCTTTTGTTCTTTTACTGTAACATTCGTCTTCGAAACAAGTCCTAAGAAAATGTGATTTGTTAGACTGACAAATAGGACGTTCATTTCAGAGAAATTTTATCTTTTCCCGAATTTGAAGCCAGTATATCTAGAAAACTGGAAAAGAAAACACTTGTCATCGGTCATCCCGTAACAAGGGAAAATGCCGCGTAAGTATGCAGTTTGTCGGCTTGCTGAAGTATGGTCGGAAATGGCCTCCGTCGTACAGTGACCCTGACTGGTATAGCGCCAGCAAGTTCCCGTATACAGCAAATGTTGTTACTTGCGATGCACAAGCAGAAAGCATGGGTTATGGCATGTGGCTGAATCAGGTGATAATACCCAAACCTAGATGAGATACAATAATAAACCCTTGCCTGATGGTACTCCTATACCACCCCCGCTCCTTCCCCTCTGCCACATTCATCACTGAACCATCGAACCACTGCACACAGACTCACATCCAACATGACCGTCCCCAGCTCAGAGGACACACACGTTCTTATCATCGGCGCAGGTATCACAGGCCTTATCCTCGCACAATCTCTCAAGAAGGTAGACTTGACCCCCACGCCGCCAGAATTTCGCCAAATACCCCTCCCTAGGTAACAGTAACCGTCTAACGTGCCGCAGGCCGGCATCCGCTACTCCATCTTCGAAAAGGAAGTGTCTATGAACTATCGCAGCAATGAATGGACGATGGCTATTCACTGGTCTCTCGACCGTCTGCGCGACCTCCTCCCCGCCGACCGTTTTGCGCACATGGAATCCGTCTCGTGCAACCCAGACGTTGCCCTGAACGCGGGCGGAAACTATCCCATCATCCACGGAGAAACTGGTCACTTGATTGCCGGTGTGCCGTATGCCAAAGGACTGCGGGTTCCGCGCAGTAAGATGCGGGATCTGTGTAGCAAGGGGATTGACGTCCAGTATGGAAAGAATCTGATCGATGTGGCGTTCACTGAAAGCCATAAAGGAGTAGTTGCATTGTTTGATGATGGTTCCATGGTTGCTGGAACTATCCTCATCGGTGCGGATGGGCCTCGCTCGAAGGTCCGTGAGTTTGCCATGGGATCGGCCGAAAAGGCGGCTGTTAGCCGCTTCCCTATTTTTCATACTAACATGACTGTTACCTACAACGATGCCGAGAAAGCTAGATATGTGAGGCAGCGTTTTCCGACGAGTTATCTGGCTTTGAGTGATAGGTCGTATCATGCATTCCAATCTAGTAGGTATTCATATCTTGTTTACTTCACTTTGGGTGGGTTACTGATTGGGTAGTCTCGAGCATGCCTGATGGTCCCGATCACCCTGAATCTTGGATATTTCATTTGGCTATGGCCTGGTTCATGGACCACGGTCAACCTGCAACTTACCGCGAAAGACTAGATATGATCCGCGAGAAAGCCCAGAGTCTCGCTGAGCCAGCTCGGTCCTCGTTCACTTGGATCCCGGATGATACGCAGGTCCATAAAGCTGATATCAGCTACTGGGTTACTCAGCCTTGGGATAATCGACAGGGAAGATTGACGTTGGTTGGGGATGCGGCGCATCCGATGCCGCCGTGTAAGATAACCCTGCAGTAACTGAACATAGTGATGTACTAATGATGGTGTGATTCGGATGATTAGACAGAGGACAGGGTCTCAATCACTGCATATGTGATACATCTCATCTTTTGGCTGGTATTCAGAAGGTAGTGGCTGGGACTGCTACTCTGCAGGAGGCGATCACTGCGTACGAAGCAGAGATGATTCCCCGCGGTCACGATGAAGTCAAGTGCTCAGTAGAAAACGGGTATATGCTGCATGATTGGGAACAGGTCCGTGAGAGTCCTGTTTTTCGACAAGGCTTCCGGCCTATGAGTGGGCACGATCGTGGGTCTGTTGATGGACATGAGAAGATGCAACCAAAGGATATTGTAGCCAATTGAGTGTGGTAAGGGAGGCACATGCATCTGTTGTGAGAGTGATGAGATATCAGTACTACGATTGATACTTATGCTGTTTACGTCGTGCTGCAAAACGCTGGCTTGTTATTGGGGTACTGCTGAATCTAGTACAACACAATGGCGCAGTCGTTACAGATCCATATCATGCAATTGCGGAGTACCACACTGAGCTGACATTGCTAAACACACTACAAATCCAGCAGACATACAGTAGACATTCTCAAACCCCATTACAGGTGTGAGCATCCGAAGTAAGCGTTAGTCGGCTGTCTCCATGTATATGACCTGCTTAGGGCCAAAATCCAGTCGCGCAGAGCTTGTTCGCACTGCTATCTAACCGACTTGTTTACTTAAGAAAGCAATATATGATAGCCATTGTATCGCGCCTCCGATGGTAATATTCGACAACACAAAGGACGGGGATATATCAGCAAAGCCACGTGCGCCATTCCCAGATATGGGAACCTGGGCACCCACAGGGCATGTGTCGTGATACCCGAGCTAGCCCGTAAGGCTGACAGCCTTTCTATGGGAAGACATCCCTCAGGCTGGTGCTGTTAACGCTAATTGACAGGGATTATTCTGGTCAATATCAGTGGCGGCAAGAAGTCTTACAGATCTGTACGAGATCCAAAAATCTGACGGAGATACCGACATCATGGCATCTGTATTCCCCGAACTGTGTATTCCGCATCGGAGTCACTAAGCGTTCCGGACACCGAAACTTAACTTCTCCAGCTCCACATGTCATGTCTTGTGTTCCACGGAAGCATGTGGAATTGCCTCGGAGACCGAATATTATCTTCCGACTCTTGGTGGAATGCCCTTAAGTTGGAGACGCTCACGTTTGCTGAAATGTAACTCCAACGCTTTGTGCCATTCCTCCTACCGCAATTCATCGGTACTGTATTTAACGATGGCCTCTGAACGCCTCTACGCCTTGACAATTTACGGCTACCGCAAGCCAGGTATGCCTGAGGATGAGTATCATTGTTATCTAAGTGATCACCATGCTGTTTTGGTGAGAAACCATCTCGTGAAGATGGGTATTGTCAGATACACTCTGGTAGGTTGGCTAAGAAACTATGAGAGGGAGAAGCTACTGACGCTGCTAGACGCACAACACGTCCGAGACAAAAGAGATGATGAAGCGTATTTTTGGAAACCTTCCAGAGGGCCATACTTCTGATTGCGACTGCTTGGCCCAGATTATCTTTCGTGATGTGGAGGATTATGTCCGCGCTCGGAATGACCCCTACTACAAGGAAGTCATTTTTCCCGATCATGAGAATTTTGCCGACTCAAACAGAACTCAGTTTGTGACTGGCTGGGTGGAGTGCCATATTGTTGATGGGAAGATAGTCTAGAGGCATCTCATTTAGAGTGATAGTGGCGAATGGTCAAGCAAAGTGCTACAGCCAATATTTAAAATCGGGCAGCTGGAATCCTCTATTGTAGACAGTGGTTGGCTGTAGACTAGATGGAATATCAAGTATTGATTCTTTCATTATCTTCTTGAACTCCTACCACCTATGTTGATAGTAACCGTAGTTTGCCCAAGAAAGCATGATATTGTGATCTTTGTGCTTGTCCCTACATCATATGTTGCATGTGGCGACTGATCAAATGAGTGTGACAATGCAGCTATGGAACATGCTTATTGCATGATTCTCCATCTGTACAACACTTGTACATCAACAGTATCCAAACTCTCTAATTGTCGCCATGGCATAACGGGAATCTGCGCTAGCTTCGCTTTTCTCAGAACTCTCCGAGAATCGACCCGTATCTGCGGCGTCAGCGACGCCCCTCAAGCAAAGGTTGTGGGCCAAGACCCAGCTGAAAGTACATGTTCGGACATCATTCGATCGTTAGTTGGCATTAACTGCCAGGGTATAGACTTTTCTAGGTCACTATTATCTAGCGTGTCAGCAGTACTCGGAGATAAACCCCTGTCGCCTCGTGTTATACTAGGATACCAACTCCCTAATTCCAAATGAACAGCCTTTCGAACATTATGAATACATTGCTCCTCCAGATGTCTGTCAGATCATGGAAGGGAGAATCTCACACCTTCTGATAGAAAATAATTTTCCAATCTTATGAACATGGTCGTTAGGACAATGCTGGAAGAATCGAGTACAAAAACCGACACTTCAGCCATGAGCAAGATGGAGACAGTCGCCGAAGTATTCATTTTCGGTGATCAAACGGTGGCATTCGAGTCGACGCTACACTCGTTGCTGCACGTGAAGGACAATGCAGTTCTCACCGACTTCTTTGATCGCGTTGGGTATCAGTTGCGGCGATATGTCGGGAATCTCCCCTTGCATCAGCAAGAATGGTTCCCTTACTTTACTACCCTCATTGACCTGCTGGCCCAGCACGAAAACTGCCATGCGGCTCCAGCGTTAAAGTTGCCCCTGCTATGTGCGACGGAGCTTGGCCAATTTATTAGGTGAGCCGTTAAGGTCTGTTTCCACATGCTCATCAATTCATGATTCTAAACTTTATGTAGGCACTATGGGCAAGCAGGAAGAACATACCCTGCACCAGAAAGTACCTTCCTGATTGGGGCTTGCACGGGGGCATTTTCTGCAGCAGCAGTTGCAACCTCCCAAACCTTAGCAGAGCTTGTCCCTGCTGCGGTTGAAGCCGTCACCGTTGCGTTCCGGACAGCGTTGCAATCGCTGATCCTGCGAAATGACCTTGAACTTAATATAGATGGATCTCAGAAATCATGGTCCGCTATTGTAGGGGTCTGTGAGCCAGAAGCATCAAGTGCAATCCGGTGCTTCAACGTTGAGAAGGTGTGTCAAATCCACAACTCAGGAGATCAGAAGCTGATAGCCACAGGGGTTGCCTCCTGTAGCTCGTCTATACCTCAGCTCAGTCAGTCGAACGAATGTTTCGATTAGTGGGCCTCCACGCCTTCTAGGCCAGTTCCTTCTATCGTGTGCCTGGAAGCACTCGTTACTTCCTATTGAGCTGCCGTACCACGCGTCGCATCTCTTCCGGAAGGACGATGCAGAGAATATTGTGGGCGAATTCCACGACTTCTCACTGCTGAAGTACACGCAACGGACCAAAGTTATTTGCGCCGTTTCTGGCGAAGTTGTTGTAGCGTCTGACCTGCGCAGTCTGCTGCATCGAGCAGTCCAGGAAGCCCTCTGTGAGCCTCTCCAGTGGAATTTCATTGCTGCATCTCTTTCTCAGGAGTTAAAGCAGTGCCAGTTTACAGTATGCGTGATCAATCAAGTCTCAACGCGAAGCGGATCGCTCATCAGCTCAGCTTTATCACAAGAAGCATTTCTCGGGGTCAAAATCGTGCAATCCATAGGAGATGTCGCTGTATCACCTGCTCTCTCGAGCCCAACTGGCAAATTTTCTCAATCAAGCATTGCTATTATTGGGTTCTCTGGACGCTTCCCAGAATCTGGCTCCAATGAAGAATTCTGGGAGATGCTTCTGGCGGGTCGAGATGTACATCGCACCATTCCCGAGGATCGGTTCGACTGGAAGGCCCACTACGATCCCACTGGCAAGACCAAAAACACCAGTCGCGTCAAGTATGGCTGCTTTATCAAGGAGCCTGGGGTGTTCGATGCTCGCTTTTTCAATATGTCTCCCCGGGAGGCCGAGAATGCAGATCCGGCACAGCGATTGGCCATCACTACGGCATATGAGGCAATGGAGATGGCGGGGCTGGTGCCAAATGCGACACCGTCCACCCAAGGAGATCGCATCGGGGTGTTTTATGGGGTGACGAGTGATGACTGGCGCGAGGTCAATAGCGGGCAAAATGTTGACACATACTTTATCCCGGGAGGAAATCGTGCCTTCATTCCGGGAAGGATCAGGTATGTTCTCTCGATTGATGACTGAAGTACTAGTGTGCTGACAGCACAGTTATTTCTTCCGGTTTTGTGGCCCCAGCCTGAGTATCGACACGGCATGCTCATCCAGCTGCGCGGCTATTCAAACAGCGTGTGCCTACCTATGGCGAGGTGAATGCGATACAGCCCTGGCTGGAGGCGTGAATGTGTTGACGAACCCTGATAACTTCTGTGGACTGGATAGGGGCCACTTTCTGACGGCTAAAGGTTAGTCTGACCAATTTAATGTGAGAAATTCAGACTGATGAGACAGGCAATTGCAATGCTTTCGATGATGAAGCGGACGGATACTGTCGCTCAGACGCTGTTGGTACCGTTATTCTCAAACGCCTCGAGGATGCTCTGGAGGATAGCGATCCCATCTTTGGCGTCATTCGTGGTGCATACACCAACCATTGTGGTAGAACAGACTCCATCACCCGGCCTTTTGAAGGCGACCAGGCGACCGTGTTCAATCGGATCATGCGATATGCTGGAGTCAACCCCCAAGACGTGGGTTACGTCGAAATGCACGGCACTGGAACCCAGGCCGGGGATGCCACAGAGATGAAATCGGTCCTGTCTGTATTTGCGCCTAATATGCGCAGACAAAACCCCCTGTACTTGGGTACAGCAAAAGCTAATATGGGCCATGCCGAGTCTGCTTCTGGAGTTTCATCCTTGATAAAAGTGCTACTGATGATGCGAAATGATATGATCCCACCGCACTGTGGCATCAAGACCCGGATAAACCATACCTACCCAACTGGCCTAAAACAGGGCAACGTGCATATTCCATTCAAACCTACGCCTTGGCTCCGTGAACAGATGCCGCAATCCAAGCGAACAGTGTTCTTGAATAACTTCAGCGCAGCAGGAGGTAATACCGCCATGCTCCTCGAGGATGCGCCGATCCGAGAGAGCAAGTTGGGTGCGGATCCTCGCTCCAAGCACGTAGTGACAGTGACAGCGAAAACCATCAAATCTCTCAAGGGGAATATAAGTTCCCTAATAGCATATTTGGAGCAACACCCGGGTATATCCTTGTCGTCTTTATCCTATACCACCACTGCCCGACGTATCCACCATAGCTATCGGGTCATAGTGTCCGGCTCTGATACAGGGGAATTTCTACACCGGATGCAGGAGATCTTGCCAGGCCTGGAGAGCCACAGACCAGTTCCTCCACCGGGAAAGCTGCCAAACATTGTTATGACGTTCACCGGACAGGGAACCCTTTATGTCGGTATGGGCAAACAGTTCTACGACACGGTACCCTCGTTCAGGGCGGACGTCACGCGATTCAATGAGATCGCAAGCCAAATGGGCTTTCCAAGCTTCGTGCCTCTTATTGATGGTATCATGATCAACCATCAGGAAGCATCGCCCACGGTAGCTCACCTCGCCTTGGTTTGCATTCAGATGGCTCTATACAACTACTGGAAGTCTCTAGGGGTGATTCCATCGGCAACTATTGGCCACAGCCTCGGCGAGTACCCTGCACTGTATGCTTCGGGTGTTCTTACAGCGTCGAGTGTAATATATTTGGTGGGCTCTCGGGCTACCTTGCTAGCGGAGAAGACCACCCCACGGACCCATGCTATGCTGGCGGTGAAGGGGTCCGTAGATTGTATCCAGGGCGAGCTACAGAACACAGGGTGCGCTCTGGCTTGCCTGAACCAACCATTTAGTAATGTTGTGAGCGGATCGATCAAAGAGTTAATGCAGTTGAAGGACTGGCTCACGTCTCGTGGCATTGAAAGTGTCCAGCTTGATATACCATATGCCTTTCACTCCGCACAAGTGGATCCGATTCTAGATGACTTCATGGCGATAGCTGCGGGTGTTCAGTACTGTGTTCCATCAATTCCATATATCTCACCTCTTCTGAGCAGGGTCATTCCAACTGGCGAGTCAGATATTTTTGGAGCTTGCTATTTGAAAAATGCATGTCGTGAGCCAGTCAACTTCCAGGGTGCTGTTAACACAGCAGAGAAGACTGGTCTAGTCAACGAGAAAACCATATGGGTGGACATCGGCTCGCACCTGGCCTGCTCAGGCATGGTAAAGGGCATACTCGGTGCAAAAAGCATTGCAATTGCATCGCTCCGGAAAGGCTCGGATTCCTGGAGTGTACTATCGGCAAGCCTGGAAGTCCTTTACTCCCATGGTATTGACATCCAGTGGGCCGAGTATCATCGCGGAATTGTTGGTGCTCGCGAGGTCCTCCAACTGCCGCGGTATGATTGGGATCTGAAGAATTATTGGATTCAATACAGGAACAACTTTTGTCTCTTGAAAGGGGAAGGCTTGGTTCCTGCGGGACAGCAAGCAGTGTCGTTTCCGCGCATTCCCCAGTATCTTTCTCCATCTGTCCAGAGAGTTCTCGAGCAGAATGACGGCCCACAAACATCTACCCTCTTGGCTGAGTCAGATATTCACGACGCAAGGCTGGCGCCAATATTGGCAGGTCATGTTGTTAATGGCGCGAT